TCTTAAATTATTAGATATCTTATATTTATCTTTTATCTTGAGTTACTTATTTTCTATTACTTTGTTATTATTCTTTAGGTTGTAAATATTTCTTTCATTATAAATGTAATGACTTATGTGTATGTTTTACACAAGGAAGATTAATCTCATATATAATTTTTCACTACATTTAATAAAAAGAGAGACTATTTTAGATACCAATAATGTTTACTTTATAAATTGGTATCTAAATCCATTACTATAGTAACTAATTGTTTTTTTTTTGTTTCTAAAATTAATTGTTATTAAATTAGTATCCATATTAGGAAAGACATGTCGAACTTCTCAATCCGTTTTCATACGTCAGACTGGCCCGACCAGACCCGATTTTGGTGGGTGAAAAACGGGCTAGGCTAACCCATTTTGACATCCATATCCGGAATGTAATTTACAAAAAAGAAGGGCATTACCAAAGGCCACAATCCCTTGGAAATAGCCAGAAGTCGTCGGTAATGACCTTTTACTGACGACCAGATTGCCCTTGATAATTATTGAAGGGCGAAAGCTTTCGGTAATTATCGAAGGGCAAAAGCACTTAATGCAAAATATATCCTTACTGAACTATCCTATCAAACCTATCATGTCTGAGAAGACGACAAATTATTCTTAAACATCAACTGTTGGACCCCATTTCAGTTCTACCAACTCTAACAAATACTCAAGCTCCAAAAGTTGCTTCAGTAGCTATTTGTCAAAATCATTTCTCCAAATTTCTTCCTCTCTACCTGCTTTATACAACCAGTGCATGTTTGCAAATAATACCAAACATCAATAATCATCATTTTTCTGTCAGTTCTTATAAGAGGCTTCACCAAAAATATATATTTATCTCACAAGTGGTCCTCTCAGCCAAGTTACCCATCTATATTACTCAATGTCTAGCAAAAACAATTACTAGACCTACAACTCTGACAGGCAGACTGTAATGTAGCTTGGACATGAGATTTAGAACTTAAATTTGTTGGGTACCATTACCTTACTTCTTTAAATTGTACATTTAACTCCCACACCTTTTCATCAAGTGTAGAAATTCCCAAACATATTCATAGCTAGTGAAAGACAGCTAAAATGCCAAAAGGAACCATGAAGTAAAGCCTAGTTAAACCACGAAAACCCTATTCACAAAAGAAATATTCACCTTTACGACAGCGACAACCCATGTATTAGCACCTTCAATACCCTCTCTCGCGAAGCCCTTCTCACGCAGCGAAAGCCACTTCGTCACACAACCCCTGAATTAGCCTCCCTTGCCAGCTAGAAGCTCTGCCCACGTCGCGACACCAACGCCTGACGCAGCGACAACACCTCCTAATGCCACCAAATCACCTTCGTAGAGAAAAAGGAGCTCGAGAAAGTGAGAAACAATGACAATGATGGTTTTGGATTGTGAACGAGAGAATGAGACAAAGATTAGGGCGGGGAAGAGTGGAAAGCGGGGACCTGACAAATTGGGAGTGAAAGTTTGGGGGAAGGTTTCGCGAGGAGAGTATTTGGGAAAATGGAAGAGGGAAATCCCAAATTCTGATTTCATTAAGTGAATGCCTATACCGACGGGCAAAAGTCTTCGGTAAATTCGTTGCCCAATACTAAAGGGCAAAAGCCTTCAGTGATCACCATCTTACATGACCGTCGCTAAATCTTTCGGTATATCAATTTTACCGAAGGTCTCTAGGCCTTCGGTAATCAGCACATTTCTTGTAGTTTTGCATTATAAATTATATAATCTAGAATGTAAATTTGCATTATAAATTATATAATTTGGAATGTAAATTTTGCATTATGGATTGTATAATCCAAAATAGTTATGTATTAAGTAATTCAAATATATAATTACACTAAGGAATAATTGAAATTTTGGAAAATGTGGGGTACAAGAAGAAATTCCGTAATTGAAATTCATCTCTAACCCAAACTTTGATACATTTTGGTCCTCAAACGTTAAAAAGGAATTAATATAGTCTTTTTAACCCAATAACATTAATTTTTTTTTTGTTTGTTAAATAACATCCCTGACTAACATTGAAAGAAAATGTATCAAACAGTATAAACAACTCAAATGCTAGATTGAAATACATTGTCAAGTTAAAAAATTTATTTATGTATTTTAATAAAGGACTATATTCATTCATTTTTAAAATTTGGAACCAAAATGTATCAAAATTTGAAATAAGGACAAATTACAATTTCCGTTAAAATTCAGAGATTAGAAAACATATTTAACCATTAATTTTTAATTCTTTATTATTTATTTATCAACCCCTTAATTATAAAAATTATATTTTTTCCAAATTTATTTATTTATCAACCCCTTATCAATCACTTTAATTAAAAATTTATTATAAGATATATTTAATAGCTAAAGAGGCTATAATTAATTAATTATATACTTATTGCTAGTCTAGGGACTTATTTTGAATTTCCTTAGCCTAAAAAATGTGATAATACTTTACATTTTCGGGAATTAAAATAATATTTTTCTGAAATAATTTTCAAAGCCTGGTATGAAAAATGAATGTTTCTACATTGGTCTGGAGATAATAAGTTGAAAAGAAATTTTATTTAATTTTTTTTATATTTGTCAGTGATATAATGTACTAACATGATCTAAGAGGTTCAAATTCTATAGAAGTATAACTCTTGTATAAACTCTTTAAAAATATTTTAATAAAGGACTATGATATGTTAACAATTTTTTTTTATAATAGAGCATGTGTCACTATTTTATTGATTCATAAATTTGAAACGGACTAATCATGAACTACCACAAAAGCGGTTGTAAAAAAATTGTAAAAAGAATTGTTAAAAAGATATTTTCCTTTAATAAAATAGTATTGACGTCCTAAGATTTTCTCTAGACAATTTTGTTAGGGTGTTGCTTCCTCCACCACCACCCTATACTTCCTCCACTTCCCCACATTATTTTAAATACAATTATATCCTTAAGTTAAAAAGATTTTTACTTTTATCCTATGTTAAATAATTTGAAACCTTAATTTTACTTTTCCAGCACCCACCCACGGAACTCTCTTCCCCTTTTCCCATTTCCGTTTCACCTCCCCACCTCACGCACTTCCATTCTTTTTTCTTCCCTGTTTTTTTTTTTGGTTTGAAAGCTTCCATTGTCGCCGTGGTGTGAAGGAGCGTCGCCGCCGTGGTGTGGAGAAACATCGAGGAACGTCCAGAGCATCAACCAACGTGAGGAAGTATACATCAACGGAGGTGACATCCTTCAACGGATGTCCCCTAATAAAACAAACCCTAAAATAAAAAAATGTAACCTTTAAACGGGGTGACATCTTCAACGGATGTCAACATCCGTTTAAGGTAAAACGGATGTCGACATTCGTTTTTCCTTAAACAAATGTCGACATCTGTTGAAGGATGTCGACATCTGTTGAAGGATGTTGACATCCGTTGAAGGATGTTGACATCCGTTGAAGGATGTCACCTCCGTTTAAAGGTTACGTNCGCCGTGGTGTGAAGGAGCGTCGCCGCCGTGGTGTGGAGAAACATCGAGGAACGTCCAGAGCATCAACCAACGTGAGGAAGTATACATCAACGGAGGTGACATCCTTCAACGGATGTCCCCTAATAAAACAAACCCTAAAATAAAAAAATGTAACCTTTAAACGGGGTGACATCTTCAACGGATGTCAACATCCGTTTAAGGTAAAACGGATGTCGACATTCGTTTTTCCTTAAACAAATGTCGACATCTGTTGAAGGATGTCGACATCTGTTGAAGGATGTTGACATCCGTTGAAGGATGTTGACATCCGTTGAAGGATGTCACCTCCGTTTAAAGGTTACATTTTTTATTTTAGGGTTTTATTTCAAGGTTTATTCGAATACGCACCTGGAGGAAGCACGACACGCACTGCACCACTCCACACACTGCACCACGAGAGCGACACTGCACCACAAGAGGGAGACTGCTTGATAATTCTTTTCACCACCACCGACCTTTGCAACTTGTAGTATCTCACAACGACGAAAGAAAGAAAGGAAGAAATATAATGTTAGAATGAAAAAAAAATATTTTACTCATGTACGGGACTAGAATATGTTATTAGTGAAATAAGTTGTGAATGGGTAAAATTAAAAAATAATAACCCTAAAAATAAAATTTTACTGAGGAGCAAAATAGTAAAGGAGAGGTGGAGGGAAAAAGGTGTAGTGGTGGAGGAAGCAACGTCCTTTTGTTAGAATGACAATAGACGTAATCTCTTAATAACATGATTACATTATATAAACTAAATTTCAATTAGAGTAATAAACATCCTTTGTTTATTGCTACTCTACCAATGGCTAAAGTAACTTGAAATAGTTAAAGGTGACATAAAAGAAGAATTGATCCGTGGAGTACTAACTCGGAAATATTCCAGTAGACACAATAGCAGAACCACTCATCTAAGAGAAGGTGGCGAAAATAGTTCATTCGGAACCTTAAAAGAGGAAAGAAGGGAAAATGACAATTGTTTGAACATATAGTAGAAAATATACAATCTTTTTGTAGTAATTCGCTTACAATGCAAGTTATGTCGGATCTTTTCTACCAGCAAAAAACCTGCTCATTACTTAGTTGCTACTTGCTAGTATTTTCTATCTCTCTTCAAGGTAATAACAATAATCTTATTATATACAAGATTACTGAACCACGAGTATTATTTGTTCACTAAGTCTCTCCATATTTCGTCAGCAATACAAGTTTTTCAAAACAGAATCAACTCAAAGGATATAAACTAATTATAATGTATAATGCTGTCTAGTAAATTAAACAATCAGAGTAATTAGAAAATTCTTTTATGAGGTGGCCTGATCGATCACTTGAATCTATAGATTTTCTTCTTCTGCTGTTTTCTTTTGTTTGTTGAGATAGATTCGACATTACTTTCCTTCATTGGTTCAAGCAATTAGGAGAGGAAAATCTAACTTGAGTGTATCAGAGGTTATTCAAATGATTGCTGGTGATTATTAATCAACGAAGGACTTGCTGCACATATCCAAATTAAAAAGAATTTCTATTTACAACAAATTTATTAAATACAGACATCACAACAAGGAATTGGCTTTTTGCATGCGCCATGTACGGTTACACCTATGCTAACACATGATTCAGTTTATACAAGAGTTTCATATGAATCCATTGATATCAGAAATATAGCTGCCTGCATTGTCCTGCATCAATATCAAAGGGGCAATATGGGCACTTGAACACTTTTGTGCAGTTCTTTGATATCTTCAAGATAGACTGCTTGCAGAGGACATGGCCACAGGCCATTAACATCGGAGGGTTATCTCCAGTTGCTTGTTCCTTTGAGACAGGACAAACAAAAATAGAATGAAACTGGAACTCGCTGTCCAATTCAACTGGTACAGGTAACTGGTTCATGGACTGCCATTCATGCTTCTTCCCTGCCATGACGCTCATAAATTTGAGGAGAGATGGCAAAACCTGGATGCCTGCTGCTACAGTCACACTCAACGGACTATTGTAGGACTGACCCAGAAGATTGCAGAACTGCCTTTTAAGTTCCTCAGCCAACTTATCCCAGTTAGATGGCGATAGTAGCGCATGGTAAGGAGATCGATCAAGCTTTCCGGTCCATAGAAGACAACCCATAAGCTTCTGAATCTCAGTCATGTAACGGGAAGCAAAAGGGGAAAGGTGTGTTCGAGCATAGCTAAGGGCTTCCTCTCTACTTCCATTTTGAAGCACTTTCACAAATTGCATTGTGTGAAGTTTCAACACAATATCAGATCCACTTAGATCAAGCTTGTCACTATTAGTGGCAGCCCAGTTGAGGGCTGGCTCTAGGTTCTGATTCTGCATGGCTTCAAGTATTTGATACATTTCCAGGAATGGGGATTTCATAATGGCAGCAGATTCAGGCTCTCCAACCACATTCATGAAATTGTCCCCTATCTCAAAAAGGCCCTGCCGGTAAAAATGGTTGGCAATTATTTGGTTTAATGTATGAATATCAATGTCGATATTTCTGTAAGCCTTGGATATATCAGGATTGAAATATTTTTCAAGAAGTTTTCCATACTTGTTGAGTTCTTTTTGTGTACCTTCCATTTGAGAAAGTGGAGCAGCTTTAAGTAAACTGGCCTTGAGCTCACTCATGACGGTTTTGTAATCAAGTTCATGGTCAGCATTATTCACTGACTGAATTGTATCTAAAACACTCTCAATTTCGTGTCGGATATGATCAATCGCTTCTTGAGTCTTGGAACAAGATAACGTTTGCTTCTTAGTAACACGTTCGAAAGCATCTTTTATAGTACTCAGCTCCATATTGAGTAGTAACTGTATCTACAACTTGTAATGCCTTAAAAAAAGCGAGGCACCTACAAAAGTTCAGTGTTAGGACAAACTTCATGGAACAACCACGCAGAGAATGAAATGCAAGAGAACTAGGAATCCTCCCAAAACAGAATTGCACTGCAATAAAGGAAAACTAAAAGAAAAATACACATTTTAGAAAAAGACAAGAGTGAAGTGAACTCGCACTTTTGGCAACTCAATAGGAATTAAAAATGAAATGCTGTCAAATATGAACTATGAAAAAGGGTTAGAGAAAGTTAGCCACATGTGCATTTTTTTTTCTGGTATGAGAAGAATGAATAGTACGTCAGGGGTTAAAAAGCACGTTATTAGAAAATTGTTTAAGTCAATCCAAATCATTGCCAAAAAATCCATAATCAGAATAGGTACCCTAACTGGACATCCCCCAAAGTATCCATACAAACAAATCAAACAAAACCAGGAAAACACAGCCATCTACCGTTAACAAGTTTATAAATGGTTTCTAAAACTTATATTATATGATACCAGGCGCAAACCAAAAATACAACTATTTTCTTCTAGGATAATCTTGGCTACATTAAATGCCTTTTAATGCATTTTGTGTCTGTTTGCATAGCTCCAGAGTGAGAAGCAACTTCAAGTTGCAAATAAAAACCCTTCATATTAATAATCTTCACACACTCGTACTAATTGAGACTTATCTTTTCCACTAAACGAATAATATATCAGCAAAAAACACAAAATGAAAGAGACTCCAGCCACATTGGAGAACATAAATTTCGGTGCAGCCAAATAAATGGACAACAACAACTCACATATAAAATAAAATTAGAACTAGACTAAGCAAACCACTTACATATTCTTTTTATTTGGTCAGATGTCTAACAAGGCTTCAGAAAGAATAAGTTCCCAAAGATTAAATTATTATAAATCCATTATATTAGTCAAACAAACAATTAGAATTCGGGAGGAGGTTGTATCTTAGCATTTTCTTCAAGCATATTCCTCTAAATTGGAAAAATAATATTCCAGAGTCTGCGTCATATGTTTCACAATAACTTTTACCGTCTTATTCACAACGCCAACCAAACGGTCTAGGATGAAAACAACAACAGAAAATTAACAGAAACTATAGTCCATAAAGTAGGTTCCACTAATATCCAACATATCAGAATACAGGTCCACTATAAATTGAAGAGAATATGTTGAAGATCCACAAGAAGCTGAATCAACAAACAACCACAACGTGTATCAAATCCCTGACAAAATAGAGTTGAATTCGATTCCTTTCCCGTCACAGGACCACCCCAGGGGAAGAAGATTAACGATACCAACCTCCCTACGTCCCATCAAAATTAAATCCACGTTCAACTCAACGCAAAGCACAGTGACCATTACTTACAATTTAAGGTCCAGAATTCAAGCATGCCACTTCAGCTCGAGCAAGACACACGAAAAATCCAGAAAGATAAAAATCCAAAACATGAGATTTAACGATGAAGAAGAAGAAAAGATCGTGAACACAAAATAAAAAAGACAGCTTGAATAGCAAACCGCTTATCCTTAAAATAGTGAACCGTGCAGCATTCCATAGGAAGCCGAAATTGTTAAGCAGTATTTATCATTCATGATGAATAAATAAAAATAAAAAAGGTGAGAGAGAAGGTTAGGATGAAGGGTTTCACATATTGTAATTGGTGGAACAGGGAAAAGGAGAAGCTTACTGAAAATGGAGGTAACAGATCTGTGGAGGTTGGTTAGGGCAAAGCGCAGAGAAGAGAGAGAAATATGAGTTTTGTGCATTAGGATGGAAAGTGTAAGAGGGAAAGGGTTACTTACGTGTCGTTGGTTAATCCACCGAGACACTGTGCAGCCCACTTTACCTACCCAAGCCCACTTTGGGATGGTAATTTCTTACTGCACCTCCACATATTTCCTCCTGCACTCTGCATAAATAAATTTCCGTTTTTCCCCTTTATTGTCTTTTCTGAGGGTGTTTCTTCCACCACCACCCCAAGTGCTTCTGCACCTTTTCATTATTTTCTTTTATTTCAAAAATATTCTACACCTTCCCACTATTTTTTTATTCCAAAAATACCCTACACCTCTCCACTATCCTCAACAATCTTTTTCTTTCTCTCTTTGCATTAATGTTGTGATTTAAACTTGTGATATATTGCAAAATATAAAATTCAGAGAAAACTTCAATATTAGTGCTTCTACCACTTTCATTTTATAAACTTAAAAGTTAGATACAAATACAAAATAATAAACATAATAATATTAATAGTAAATAATATATTATTATTATTATTATATACTAACTTTATAATGACGAAAGAACTAAATAAATTCCAAATCTTTAACAAATAACTTTTCTTTTATATTTTAAGTATTTAATAATATTTTTATATTATTTATCTAATAAATTAAATACTTTATTCAAGTTATTTGAGTCAAACATGTCGGTAAGTTAAAGCATAATATAATGTTAAAAATTATAGATATTAAATGTAAAAAAAACACACATATATATAAACATTTTTCTAGAAATTTAGAACAAAATTTTACCATTTATTAAATAATTTGAAAAAAATATATATATTGAACAGTGAAAATAAGATTGAATCAAACTTATTTAAGGGAAATTGTAAACAAAATTTTGCAATATATCATAAGTTTAAATCAGAGTCATGTGAATGCTTCATTAATGTGGAGAAAGAAAGAGAAAGATAATATAGTGAAGAGGTGTAGGGTATTTTTGGAATAAAAGAAAATAATGAAAAGATGTAAAGCATTTTTAGAATAAAAAAAAATAGTGGAGATGTACAGGAGCATTTGGGTGGAGGTAGCAACACCCCTTTCTGATTTCCAGTACTTCTTGGTCCAATACCCACTCACGTTACTACTTTGATGTGCTTATTTAAACTTGTTAGGTTTTAATGCTGAAATTTAAGGGTACCCATTATTTATATTTAAAATAATAATAGTTTTATTTTATAAAAGATAGACTTGAATTACATTAAATAAAAACATATCATATAATTTAATCACACTAAATAAACTGACATGTTAATAAATATGTTTCATTATTAATTATTGATTTTGTTTCTTATTAAGGCACCTATTCTTAGTTATAATACTCCCACAAAATTATAATTATAAGCCGTCCTTTTAATTTTGTTATTTAATATATATATATATATATATATATATATATATTTATATATAT